AGGCTATACATTTTTTACCAGTATGCGTGTTCCCTGGGAATTGAACCCACAACCTTTTGCACTGCTAATGCAATGCTCTACCACTGAGCCACAGGAACACTATATCTATCTAAATCTTGCAATTGCAACTTTACTTTGTATGTCACAATGTGACTATATCTCACAATTTGGCTATATATCACAATCGTGACTTTGTTTTTCATACCTGCAGCTTTACAGTATATCGCACATCAACTTTAAATCTTGCAACTGCAATTTTACTGTATATGTCAAATTGTGACTATATTTAGCAATGAGACTTAATATCTCACAATTGCAACTTGTTTATCTCGCATTGACTTGCAATCTCCATTTTATATATGTATGTATATATGTGTGTGTGTGTGTGTGTGTGTGTGTGTGTGTATATATATATGGCACATTTTATCTACTTAAACACTATCTCACAATTACTTGGATCTTTTACTCTGAGGCAGAAATGGGCTTTCACAGAATGGAGTCTGTATGGTGAATGGTTTAACATAGTTTGCCTGTATGGTGAACTGTAATTAATTTCAGAAGTTTACTACATAGGTTTAGGAGTTGAATAAACCTAACCATAATATTTAGGGTTCTGGCAATACAGTGCTGCCTTGTAACCTTTGTAATTATAGCATTCATATGTGAATTATTAATTTAACAAATATTGTTTACTTGTGTCTCAACCAGGGATATTAAATAACTAAGGACTAAGAAGTGTTAGTGATATTAGATATTAAAGAAGCAGTCATTGGCAGAGACCATATCGGGGATATTGGCACTTAAGGTGTGTGTGTAAGGAATGCAGTGGGAGAATTGTGGTTGTGTAAGTGGTGGGATGTGGCTGGGGGACTGCAGTGTGCTGTGAATGATACTGATCAGCCAGTGCGACTAACACTCACGTCTTGGGGTGGAATGGCAAACTGTCCTGGAATAGTAAATGCCTGTGGAACAGATAACACATTTAAGTTAGTACAAATAACAACTGCCTATTTGCTGCTTGGTCATTAGTCACAGTCTTAGACGATATGGCACACCCATGGACCACCCACAGTCTGTTCTATGCATATTTCATAAAAACCTAGAAAGCCTTTATGAAAATCGTAAGCTCAAAGCAGATAGCTCAAATGCAATGCAATGAAACAATTGGGGTTAACAGGACTGTATCAAATAAAATAGTGTACCAGGTTAATAATATAAACACTTGTGAAGAAGAACTGGTTAGGGGCTTCAAATCTTTTTGAGGCACTTAGTAGTATGTAGTCATCCACAAGCAAAACTATTTTACTGTGTGAAATAATCAGTACATTTTGCTCATCAAGTTACTGTATTTGGCAATATTTCTCTGCCATATTTTGAATTAGTTATTAGGTGACAGTCAATAGTTGTGATAGTTAATTTCATATAAACTCACCCCTAAAGAACACGTAAAACAAAACAAACAGTGGTTGGCCGCTTTGTTCATGTTAAAGCGGGTGGTTCTTGGCCAGAGTAAGTTGCAAAGTGGACCAGACTTTACACCACAAGTCAAATTCTGTCTACTTGAGACTACATTGTTATTAACATAATTAATACTGCCAGGTGGAATATGTTAAGCTCTTCTTAATGTAACCACAAGGGGGCATCCCATGAACATACCATGCTTTCATCAAACATAGCAAAAAATACAGAACTAAACTGTTTCTTAGCATTTTAATCTTCCAGATACAAACAGAGTTGTAGCTGTCATGATTTTTCATTATATGGACAACTAGCCTTTGCATTTCTCACCTTAGTCAAACTAGATGTCAAGATCAGTCAAATGAGCAACAGAAGCCCTTTGGACAACATACCAAGAGGAGAAGTCAAGGATAAAGGGTCAAAATTTAAGATTACACACCCTTATGAGTAACAAATCTGAAGAACCTTTTTCATGTTTTTGATATGGATGTGAGAATTTCAAATTTCAGAATTTTGTTTGATAAATAGCATTTTAAATTACAATGTTCATATTACACATATAAACACAACTGCAATACGACCACTAATTATAAAATATTTAGATAATTGATAATTGATTAATAAAGTTTGAAACGTTTTCCATCTCAGCACTGAGGAGTTTGTAAAATTACAAATTCTGATTTCTTTCCAATTGAATAGCAAAAAAGTGTGCCATACTGTCCCTTTTGGTATTACAGCTATTCTCATGTCTAGAACTGACATTGTTATCGTCTGGCCAGTTATTTAGGTCAAGCTATTTAGATACTGTATATAAATATTAGTCTATTTAGGCCTTGGTGGGCCGTCCTGTCCTAGACATTCATAGCAACTGGGAATAACAGCAGCCAGTTCACCCCTCACAGCCCTCAGCCGCGAGGACAGCTATATTTATTCAATGTGATCCACCAGCCGAATAAAAAACAAAGCCTTCAAACAAAAGTCACTGTCCTCATGTCAATTTCAACAGCTAAATGAAAATGAATGGTTCCACTTTTGAGATGAATTGCTTTGTTTTCCATCAACGGATTCCATGAATAGATAAGTTTGAGGAAAAGTGAGTGAGTTCAAAAGTTTAGGAAATTACAGCTCAGGGTTGCAGCCGTCTCATAACATGCGGATTTAGTGGAAGCATGAATCGAGCTGCCCCCTGTGCTCAGGAATAAAAAGTTCTAACTTGATGAGGACAATCAATCATGCTGCTGTTAAGTGTTTCTGCCTGCCGCTGAGGCAACGGAAACTAATTGTTTAACGGATCATTCCGTGCATCATCTGAGAGACGCTGTGACCTGCATTACAAACCCTGCGCATCTGCCAACAATTAAACCTCTACCTAGAATATCTACCTCTCTGATCTCTTTGATCTTCGAGCCTCCTTTGCCAATGAGTGAACCGCACTGACTGGCGGGGAAAACGAGGCGCAGTGTCACAGGAGGCCTGCTTGTCACGGTGCTGTTTATCATAGATGCCAGGATATCCTGAAAGAGATGCACATGCATCAGAAAGAAGCTCAATTCAGCTTGTGTCAAGTCATTGTGTCATTTTTAAATAAAAACAAGTTTATAAGGGAGAAAAAACTATTGCAGGAACACTATTGCAGGAACACAAGTTGACAGTTTTTTAAATGAAATAAAACACTGACTAGGTATTTTGTGGCGCAATATAAAAAATGTAAAAACAATATATATATATATATATCACCAAAAATAACAAAGTGTTAATAGTTGTCAATAGTTGTTAAGTCACCATTAGCATTTCCTTTGGCTTGGACCTAATTTACTTTTAATTAATTTACTGTAATTAAAAGCCAGTGCAATGGTGTTGTTTTACAGAACACAATTTGTTGCATTGTGCAACATGTAGAAAATAAAGCAAGTGACTGACTCATTACTAAAACTATACGTATCAACATTGTAAGTTATAGAAAAATTACAATTGAATGAACAGTTAAGGGAGGAGGGTTTAGCAATACTATTGTGGTGAGATAAGTGGTTGTTTAGTATTAGATCGTTTAATGATCTCTCTGCTTATAAAACCCATTATCTCTAACAATTAAAAGGTATAATCTTAAAAATAAACATAATTAAAATGAACAAGTAGCCAAAAAAACAAGCAGCAACAGCATAATATATCAAACAGTAAAATAAATAAATAAATGCAACCACATATTTTATGGATACAATGCAGGCATATTACTGTGGACATCACACTATTACAGTTAATGTCTAAATATACAAGATCACTGTAATGCAGACACAGATAACTGTGATTCAATAGCATTCTACTTTAATATACTGTAACTAATTTCCTGCTCCTGTTCACTGTGAATTCACTGTATTCAGTAATAATGTAACTGTAAAAAATTGTACAGCTACTACTGTAAAATTAATGGGAAAGTATGGCAAATAGTTGCCATGTAAATCCACATTAATATTTTTACAGTGTACTAAAATGCATCAATTCACCCATAACATTAATCGCCTATTACTGTGAAAATCCCACCCACCTCCTCAAATTTCTCTGCGATCATGGCGAAGGCTTTGAAGATGACCTCAGACGATCCGGTAATGGTGACAATGCGCTCTGGACTGGAACCGTCAGATATATTAATGCGGGCTCCACTCTAAATCCACAGAAAAAAGCAGAGTTTTTGTGCTGCATTACGTTTAATTGATCAGTCTCTCCTCTAGGCTGACATTTGCACCCTCTGCCAGTTAAATACCATTGAACTGATCATGCAGATAATAAGATGATTTTGCTCAAACTGAAATGATTCCAGGCTGTTTTCTGCTGTCTAATTTTTTATATACTGTACATGTGGCCACCCAAATGAGCTCCTTTTAATCTTTACACAGCTTGTCAGAATTAATAATATGCACTGCATATAATATCAAGGCAACAGTCCATAGTTAATAAAAAAAGTTAAAAACTTTACTATGTGAAATATAAAATAAGCTTTTGATATTCATAAAGAAATTAAAAATGATTAGTCCTATTTGATCATGAAGATCAATGTTGCACTTACTTCCTCTCTCATTTTTTTGACAGTCTCTCCTTTCTAAAACAAAACAAGAGGAAAATGATATAATTAGATTGTAAGTCATTTTTAAACACAGACAAGAAGACTCAATGATATGCTTAATTCAATAATGCAAATATCAGGATAATACTGAATTGTTTACCTTCCCAATGATACTTCCAACTTCCTAGGAATACATAAAACAAACAAAATCTTGGTTAATCTAAATGATTGCATAGTAAACTGGAGATGATCAGTGTTTACTTTTAGATGACAAAATTAGACATAAATGTGTCCTTCCTGAATAATATCTATTTGTTTACTTTACTTCACTTTATTTTACAGTCCTGTTCCGCATGTACATGGTATGTACTTGTTATAGTAATTACAATAACTGGGTAATAATTAGGTACTAACCCTGAACCTACTCCTAAGCCTAACCCTAACCCATGTAATTATTTTCCAGTACTTTCTTATGTATGTACACTGTAAGTACAGGTAAATGCACGTATGTGCAACCCTTTTTTACCCCCAAATATTGAATGGTATTTTGTCATGTTTGCACAAAAATATTAAGCAGCACAACTGTTTTCAACATTGATAATAAGAAATGTTTCTTGAGCACCAAATCAGCACATTAGAATGATTCCTAAGGATCATGTGACACTGAAGAGTAATGATGCTGAAAATTCAGCTTTGCATAACAGAAATAAATTATATTTTAAAATATAAAACAGTTCTTTTAAATGCTATATTTCACTGTTTTTACTGTATTTTTGACCACATACAGTAAATGCAGCCACGGTGAGCACTTCTTTCAAAAACATTAAAAAAACCTTAATCATTCCAAACGTTTGTGTAGTGTAGATATAAGTATAGATGCCATAACCAGAAAGATTGTGACATTATTTCAGACCCAGACAACAACAGGTTCCTTTTCATAAGAAACGATGATCACGTAAATGCCACTGTATGTTGTCAATACTATTTCTGGTGATGTTATCTAAAAGACAACATTTTATAATCAATTATATTGACGATCTATAATCTAAAATGATCACCTATACACTCATAAATCGTTCTCAAGTTCTGGTTTCATTGCTTGACTGGATGCACTTGCAAAACAAGGCTGAGAACAAAACAAGCACAGCTCTGTGAGGATCCGAGATGTGTCTTACCTTGCCATGCATTAGTAGGCGGATGGTGAGGGTGACATTTAGCCCTCCCTCCATCTCATTCATATTCATTCTTCTCTTGGGTCTAGATGCTTCAAACAGACTGTCTCTGTGCACACAAACAGACAAATTTACCAGTTCAGTCAGAAGAGATATGAGATGAATTTCGGTGAGCAACCTAATTCCTTGCTATTACCTTTTTTAGCCATAAATGTCTATTCGGTCATGCATTAATTTTGTTTAGCTGCAGGTACCTGTTGCTGTGCTCTGACAGTAAGTTGGGCGTTATTTCCCTGCAGGCGGGTGAGCGTGGCCCTGCCTCTAACCTCTCTAATGGCTCTGCTTTAATAGAAATGGTGTGACCGTGTTTGATAAGACTCAAAAAGAGCCTCTTGTGTCTTTCTAGGCCTTTGGATCAAGTGACGTTTGTGTGACCATGTCTAACAAGGCCCATTAATTTATCAGAGAGTCGTCTGTTCCCACATTCCTCACTTTAAAACCGAGCTTATCGCCATCTAAATCGATTCTAAGCCAGATGAGATCACAGAGCACATTCATGAGCGAAACTAAAAAATGAGGCAGTGCTGGATCAGAGGAAGTGTTAGGAGATTGTCTTAAATTTCCCTTTAATAATGCCTTATCCATTCCTCATACGAGGAATTGCAGCTACGAGCAATAAATGAATGCATTTTCTTTATTTAAGTGAGAACAGGAAGACATCTATTCTAATTGAGTCCCAATGCTTTCATTTGTTAGGTCTCTTTGAAAACTAGTGCTTTTGAAATGTGTTCAGACTTACATAAGCTGTTAAATGAAATGTGGTCCCTCTTTCCATGACACTCCAGCAGCAGAGGAACTTGCTAAAGAGATGTGAACCGCTGAATAGGCTAGAAGAGAAACAAATGCTTTATATACAGTATATATACTGTATATAAAATTAGTTTTTTGCTTCTGTTTAATATCGAAGCCAGTAAAAGGGTTATTTGTTAAAGCGTTCTCAAAGACAGAGAGTTCAATTTTAATCATGAACAAGACTCCTAATGTGGAAGTCACGCAATGAGTTATAGATTCAGCATTCTTAATATGAAATAATAACAAACAGTGTAAAAAGCCTGTTCTTTTGTGTGGCTATTAGTTCAGTGCTGTTTCATCAGGTAAATGCATCAAACACACTGCCACCATCCTGTCTAATCCTATAGGCCCGGATTTGTTTGGATCATGCTAAAACCCATTTGACCCATTTCTGTCCTTCCAAAGCTTGTCAACAGGCATCTGAAAACATTCTGCCATCATATAGCATAGCACTAATAAGCCCGAATATAGATATCACACATGCTGTTTTTCAAATGTCAAATGTGTTTATGAATCAGGAATTTAAATAATTTATGCAACTGCCGTTGAAATGTTGATGCGCAATGTAAATGGTGGGTCAGATTAGTGTTCAGAAATGATCAGTCTGTTTTAAATACGTAATCCTAATGGCCAAGCTTTTGTCGTTGTTTTTGTTTACATCGTACACTATTGTGAATTCAATACACTGCAAGAAACTATTCAAACTAAATTTAATAAATAAATAAAAAACACTTATCTTGATATATTACCGAAAGTCTGTCATTAAATAGGACCATTAAAATGACTAAAAGTAAAAGTAAAATAAAAGTAAGTAAAGTAAATAGGTCCATTCAATTATGTAATATTACTGCCCAAACCTAGAGCATTATTTTTGAAACATGACATTTATATGTATTAACCTCAACGTAATTTTTATTTATTTAATTTATTTATAGATAGATAGATATGTGTATACAAATACATATATACCTTTATAAATTATATTTGCTTAGATTTCGTTATATTATTGCATTATTATAATTATATGAAAATGTATAAACAACTAGAATATGACTTTTTTATGTATTAACATGACGCATTATTATATGTAAATGTATAAACAAGGATATATAGTGTCAAATAGTCACATAATATGCATAATGTACTGTATATGAAAGATATAACAGTTTTCCTTTTGTCAAAGATGAAACAAGAGCACTGTTGCTGCCAGAAAAGCATTAATACGTCTATTTGTTCCTGTCCTTTGGAAGTCCCTGAGCGTGACAAGCAGCTTTGGGTTGAAGTTAGCAAACTGACCTGAGAAGTGATGGAGGTTGAGACAGCGCGAAGATGCCACTTATTTCTTCACCAACTCTTCTTGCCTTGTCAATCCAGGATGAGTTAACGTTTGAGGCTTCAGAGTGTGTATGATTCCCTGAGTGCGGAGTTGCCCTCCTTTGTTGTCAGCTGTATTCAGAGAATGGACAGATGGCCTTGTGCCTGTACCTCGGGTCGTCTGAGACTAGCTTTACTGTTTTTCCCCCCTCTGGCTTAGCCTCTGATAAGCCTTTAGCCCAGGCTACGTGAGCCCAGAAGCTCTCTCAGTTCTTAATACTCACGTATTCGATGCCGCAGTGCCTTCATTCTGGGAACGGATGCATTAGGGAATCCCGAGTAGAACAGAAGGTAACAGGTTTTCCATACTTTGGTGAAAATGTAAGATGGACAGCTGACATAGTCTAGCAAAATATTCACAAAAAAGTAAGACAGAATTGTCTAACTGTGAGACTCATCTTGAAATACATGGTCCATTTTGGCAGGGAAGACCTAGGTAAGACACATGCATCCATGGATAATGACATTTTGAAGGACACATAAGAAGAAGAACATGCCACATGTTTTGCTGGCACCCCCAATCAACATAAGCAGCTCCAAATTGACTGTGTCGTATCATTATGGACAGAAAGACACAATGTCTCTGTAGCCGGTTTCCCCTCCCCCACACTGAGCATCTACTCCTGCTAATGAGGCCAAAGTCCTGTGAAAACAATGTGGCCCTTTAACAGAAAAAGATGCACTCTGCTTGGCAGCAAAATTTCAAAGTGAATGAATTAGTGGAGCAGAAGTGGCATATTTAATCACTGCCTGCTGTCTGGGATGGAAATGAACAATGTCTCTGTGGATCTCCCTTCCCTCCCTGCATATGTGTTAATAAATAGTGTAAAATCAAGTTCTAAGAGTCTGTTACATGCCAAACATGTTGGTATGAACTAAAACCAAAACTATCACAAAGTTAAAATTTAAATATAAATACAAGATGAAAAACTAAACAAAAATGAGAAATGTTGCCATAAACTTAAAAAAAAAGTTTAAGAACTGATATACAAAAATGAGTACTACTAAACTAAAAATAAATTACAATTATTAAAAAAAAGACAAAAGCACACAAATAAAAAAAGCAAAAATTACTATAAAAAAAATGTATATATATATATATATACAAATAAGCTACTTCAAAATATTAATAAAAATACATAAATAGTATTAAAATTCTAAAACAGTCACAGTGATTATTACTGTTTCCACAATGGTTATGCACTCTATCTATCCATATTTATAAATCCCAAAATTGCTAATAGAACTGCTGTTATAATGCAACATAAAGTGATTTGAGTGTTATTGTTGATCTATTTTCACACTATAAAACCCCCATGTGACATGCCTTTATGTCTCACTAATATATTTTTATATTATAATATATCTGTTCTTAGTTGCCAACACTCACAGATATAACATCCCAAATTCTGTAGAGGAACTGTAGGAAAAATATTTGATGATAATAGCTTTGAAAATGTAATCAAAATAAAAGTCATATATAGGCTACACTACTGTTCAACAGTTTGGGGCCAGTACGATTTAAAAAAGAAAAAAGAAGAAGTCTCTTTATGTTCACCAAGGTTGTATTTGATCAAAAATACAGTAAAACTGTAATATTGTGAAATAGTATTACAATTTAACTTTAATATATTTCAGAATGTCATTTATACTTTTTTTATATAGTTGTTTTTAATTTATACTTTTATATTTGATCAAAAGTGTAGCTTTTCTGTATGTGAGTCCACCAGACGTGGGCTTTTTAATGAAACTCCACTATTTTTGTCCTGCAGAAAGATCAACAGTCACACTGCTGTTAGACTTTGGTCTCGGTTCTTTCAATTGGACATGGGAAGACCATAGACTGTATAAAAACAGGGTAAGACACGAAAGAGGGAGCTCTTGTCTTGTGTCTGACTTTACAGATATGAAGACTCAGTCTTTGAAGGAGTTCCCTACTTCTGCACTTTTGAGAGTTTTAAGAGTTTCTGGCGCTATTATGGTTACGGCGTTGATCAACAAGAACTGATAGATCGGGAATTTAAACGGATTAAAGGTAAAAAAGAAAAAAAGAAAGAAAAAAGGTGGTCCTTAACCTCCTGCACCTTCAGTAACTTGTCAAAATCTGCATGTGGTGGTGCTGCTACTAACTACTCTCCTTCTTTTAACAACATACGAATATTTGTTTGTTTAGCAAATAGACGATTATGTATTAGACACATAAAAACTGCCCTCTAACTTCTCCAAATGTTGAAATCGTGGGTCTGTAGCGCAAAGTGTTCACTTTCTCTTTAGTTGTTGTCATGTGGTTAGAAAGATGGCAGCGCCCTCTGTTGATCCCAATGTGAATTACATCTAGAGGCTGAGGAGACGTTCACAGGTTCCTCGTTCTCTTTTTAAGGCGTTACATACCTTGAGCATGCAGGGACAACGCTATTTCCTGAATCTCAGATTAAAGGATTTTATGATGATATATCTAGGAATGTTTATGGTGAGTTCCTTCATATGCATTGTTGAATGCACAACTTAATAATACCAAAATCGTAATTTGCTGTAAATCGTAACGTACTTTTCTTTGTCAGGCAATCCTCACAGTCATAATCCCAGCAGTAGACTGACACATGACACTGTGGAAAGTGTCAGATACAGGTAAGGACTTTAGCACCATCTGGCCTGTCAGTGAGTCATAGCATAGAAATATGCATTATCGTTTAAATGTATTATTATTTATAATAATGCATATATAGTATAAGTAGATACAAGAGCAATATAATACAAATAGGAAACGAATTTGGGAATCAAAGATCGTGTTTTAGAAATATTTTATTTATTACACACACACACACTACACTCTAAAAAATGCTGGGTTAAAAAGGGACAAACCCAGCTATTGGGTTGGTTTGACCCAGCGGTTGGGTTGGTTTTGCCCCAGAGGTTGGGTTGGTTTGACACAGCGGTTGGGTTCAAAACAATCCAACCGCTGGGTCAAAACAACCCAATAGCTGGGTTTGTCCCTTTTTAACCCAGCGCTGGGTTATATTTAACCCAGCATTTTTTAGAGTG